AATTCCTTGTTAACGATCTAGAAATTAGATAACTCTCCCTTTTTCTTTTTTAATTTTGGAATGTGGTTTGGAGGGAGTTCCACTCATGTTTCTGAACTTTAACTCCCCACTACACAAGTCTCTCTTCCTCCATATTCCTACTCATTCTCTCTCTTCCCAAGTAGGTTTTATCTCTCTAAAACTCTCTCCCACTAGTTATCTTTCTCTCTCTCTCTCTAGATAGGCTTCATTTCTTTTTCTCTCTCTCCCCTTAGTTGTCCATCGAACCGAGAAGTTCCAACGTTTCATTATTTGTATCCCTTTGGTGTGATGGCATATTGGGTTACTTTTCTTACTATTTTGTAATTTTTTTTAAAGTGTTCATTTCTCTGTTAATTGAGGTTCACTTTGTATTAAAAATCTTGCATCTATCCATCACAACTTATGTGTTAATTTTGTCTAAGTAGACTTCACCATAGAGCTTTGAAACCTCTTCTTGGTATTGTATCCTCTTTCTGTATAGATCAGGTTATGATGGTCATTAAGAATTGAATGTTTATATAGGAAAATAAAAGAATCAGTTCTTCATCAAATAACAATAGAGGAATTGATCAGTTTTTAGTTTTTCCAAGAGATTTGAGAGAGTTCTATAGAAAGAACAATCGATGGGTTATAGAGCAATTAAATTCTTTACTCCAAGAATGTGTAAGGTTAATAAGAATTAATGTGTTTTGTATTTATGGATGAAATAAATGTTGAAGAACAACAAGCGGTGTATCAGTTATAAAAGTGATCTTCAATGGGATAAAAATAAGTGAAATATACTAGGTAACACAAGATGTAATTGTGTAATGAACCAAATTTGTAACACATTTATTCAGGTGCATGTTAGTTTGGATATTTAAAAAATGTTAAAGGGTAAAAAGGTGGATCAAATTTTTTTTAAGATGTGTACATTTAGAAGTAATATAGATAAACTAGTAATTGTCCGTGCCCAAAGACACTATATAAACAAAAAAATCGCAAACAATAGCCTATGCACACGAAGGTGTTGTACAATACAATACAAAAAAAATTGACAAGATAAAACATTTTATTGATCCAAATAATATAGATATTACAATAAGGTTCAAATACAAACATGTCACACAATCAAAACAAACTAAAATTCAACTTATTGGTCAAGCACAACAATTTGAGTTGTATCTTACCCTTTTGAGTACTGCGAATTCTTTATGAGAGAGCCAAATAAATCTATCTCATTGATTTAATCAATCCGACCTTAACTTTAAGTGCCAAACATGGTGAGACTTTAAAATATGATCCATTTTGAAAACATCGTAAGAAAATCCACTTTACCAAAAATTTAGGTAGTATTTTGAGAAGTAAATAATCATTATTCAAGACCATAGCGATCTCCGAAACCCAACAAAAAAACACAAGAACACAAGAACTTTAATTAATAGTTACAAATCCGCCTCCCACCTATAACATTCACCACCACTCATCCTTCCTCTTCTCATCATTGACATAAAACAAAACAAAATTAATATTCACATTGCTTCATTTTTTTAGAATTTTTTGTTAACAAATTTTATTATCAAAAATTCTTTTATTTTGCTTTTCAAGTCGAAGAAATAAGCTATTTACGAAGTGACAGTCAATTAGATAGTTCAATAGACTATAAACCAATGTTATCAGAACTGGACTAGACCGGTTCAACCTCGAATGGGACCTAAAACGGTCTGGTTTTTTCGTTAGACCGTATAAGGAATCAAATCGGTTAAGAATCGAAAAATTGGCCCATTTTAGACCAAATCTATGAACCGGACGATTGAAATTCATTAAAAAATAAATCCTCTTTTTAGGCTATTTTGCCCTAAATCAATCCTATTCACAAGTCATTTACACCTCGCACCTTAGTTCAGTGGCCACTCTCAGGCCAGGCAACCACTTCGGCCACGAACAACAGCTCTAGGGAGGCAACCACTCCCGCGACAAACTACAACTGCAACGACGAACAGCAACTCCAACGACGAACAACAACTCCAGGGAGACGACCACTCCGGCAACGAACAATAGCTCCAGGGTGCACTCATCGACTACTCTCTCCTCAAGCCCCTCTCTCTCTCTCTCTCTCTCTCTCATAGTCTCACTATGTGTATACCTGTGTATGCCAAGCTATCAGCTGATGAATTCCTTATTCATCAATTTTAAAGGCAACATATGTGGTTGTCATATGTCTATATGAGTTTTATTCATCAATCTTTATTCACTGTTAAAAAAAAATCAATATTTATTCATTAATTTTTGGTAAATTATATGTATTGTAGATATGTTGTCATATTTTTAGCTAAATTATTAAATTTTATAATATTATAATATTTTTTATTTTTTTATTATATGACCAATCCAACAAGTTAAACCAATGATTGAACCAGAAAATCAATGACCTAGTCCCCTTATCAATTCGATGACCGGTCTAGTTCTGATAATACTACTATAAACAAAGGGTTCAATAGCAGTCATAGTGGCTACCTAAGTGCTCAAAATATAACCAAAAACTTTTGAAATTAGTAATTAAAACTCTTGATCGAATCACACAAAGCAAGGTATACAAAATTAATAAAGCATATAGACTACAGATAAAGAAACTTCTTTAAAAAAAATAAATACTTCAAGATCATATAGTCAAAATGCTGCAAGCATACATGAACCTTTTGATTTTCTTTCATGAAAGCTTTCCCAAAAAACACATTCACTAAATGAACTATGCAAAACAAAATATTTTAAATCTATACAAATGATTTTACCTTCACACTCTATTGCTTATTATGCTAAAATGAATTTCATTTTGGTGTTTGTGTAATACAAAAAATGTAACCCAAAAAATACTTTAATTAGAAAAAATATGAATTCTCCATCAATATTACATACCTACAATTGAACTTAGGAATCAAAACCCCTATTTTCATTTAAAACAAAACTCAGATATTCCAACTCTTCTATCATAATTTTGCCTCAGTTGGACCTAGACATCAGCCCCATTCATCACATTGACGACCATATATCCATTTTTAGTAGTTCAACTGCTACCGCAACACAAATATGTAATGTCAACTTATAAGGAACTTGTTTTGGCCTCTAGAGGCAGTTCCAAACCTTTAATGATCTCTCTTATGTTTTCCTTTGTAACTGTTCTTCGTTTTGTTAGCTCTTTTAGTTTCTCATAAAGGCCTAGAACATCAAATTTTCATATTACCCAAACATATAAATTTAAAACCGGGTTAGAATAGGGTGTGTTTAGAATAAAATGCTATCATTTAATTAATGAGAAAAGCAAGGGATAAAATTCCATTAGGAATTCTCTCCCTAGAATCTCCCAAAACATCAGCTATCTTCCCACCAAATCCTCCATTTTTAGCAACATTTGAGTGATTGAAGGAGAAATACTCCGAAAGGGATTCTTTAATATCTTCCAGCAATTTCCCACTGGTGCTTTGTTACCAAAATTCATAAACATCTGTTATGCTTCTTAAGAGATATTTATGGGTGTTCTTTGTTACCAAATCCTCCAAAATTCCTGAGTTTTGAGTTAATCCTGTTGTTTGATGTGTTAACCAAGAATCCTAATGTGTTTGACTTGCACTTTGGGATGGAAGAAAACAATTTTATCTCCTTATCAATATTGACAACCAGCTTCCTCTCCCCCAAAGTCATCAACTCTCTTCACCCCTAATAATCATCTGAGACAATCTTATCCAATATGGACTTCATTTTAGCTTTAAACATCTAAATCATATAAGAACTATTAAGTTGGTGTTGCTTCAGTTCTACTTGCAGCAATAAATTTATATGACATTAAAGTTATATACATGTCATCTAGTAACATGGTCCAATGGAACCATAACATCCATAAGCATATGAAAAAAATTATGATTATTAAAAGAAATTCAAACAAAAAACAAACATCTTATTGCATATGAGGATAAATAGCATAAAGGTTCAAAGATCATACCTTACCAAGAGCTGCATCAATCATCTTATCAGTTGTCGAAATCTAATTAGCAAAACCTCATATTACTACAAACATGCGCACACCAAGGAAAATCACAGAGATATAAAATATAGAAATCTCAATTGTGCACAATATTTGCAAATGCATTGAGCAGACACACAAATATACATCGAAGAGTGAAACAAATTACAGAGAAATTGTCCATAGAAGAGAAGAGAGAGAAAGAGAAGCAATTTCCTACCACACCATGAAGATGCAAACTAAAAATTTCTCACAAAAAGGCTTCTGGGTCACATTCTACTACTATATAGGAACCTGCTAGTCAAGACAATAATAAAATCAAACACATTGAACAAACACATCACACAAAACTCCATCAAAGATATATATATATACACAACCACCTTGACATTTTTTATGCCATATGCAAAAAACCAACACTCATGATTGGTGGTGGCCAAAGGTACTAGGAGGAGCGTATAAATTAGCAAACTCAAAATTAACAATCTTGAGAACCCTACCAATTTTGATAGGAGGGAGAAAAACTTATCTGCCCATGAACAAAAATGGTGGCAGTGGGAAGAAACTTAGATAAACCACCAATTTGGAGTACCAAAAAATCAAAAACATTGTTCGTAACGACATTTCATTGAAAACATGGTGTTTGTGGGCTGTGCCGCGGGGACAGTTTTTTGGCTGTGGGTGACAATTGGTGGCTCGATTGGTGGTGGTATCATCTTGGCAATTTATCGAACAGCTGGTATGTATGGAGCTTTCGAGTGGGGTTAGAATGGCCGAGAGAGAAAGAGATATGAGATGCGTTAAAGGGAGTTGAGACAATTGTCAGAGATACCTGAAATTGAAATAGGTGTTAGCAGTGGCGGTGGTTGTGCAACGGTGTAGACAGATGGAGATACCCAATGTTAGTGGGCTGACAACGTTGCATGTGGGTGTCACTGGGGTCCTATGTAATGTAAGTGTCTGTTTGTTGTGTTTTGTGAAGGGGATGTAGTTTTTTTGTGTATGGGGAAAACAAAGAGGAGAGGAAAAGGACAAAAAAAATACTTGGAAGTTGTGCAATAGTTGCAGTAGTGGTGGTATGTAGAGGCTATGACGTCATATGTAGAGACGGTGGCGAAGGCGATGGTGGTGACGGTGGCGTGAAAAGGTATGACGGGGAGAAAGAGAGACGTATCTGAAAAGCCAGGATAGAGAGACCTATGTGTGTGTTAGAGAGTGAGATATAGAAAGAGTGTGTTAGAGTTGTAAATGAAATCAAACTCTTAGCCCAATTATAGACTAATTATGATTGTTGGATCGAAAGTCTGAAAATTATCTGAACCACGAAAAGTTCAAGACAAATTTTTCAAGCTACTTTATTATATAGATATGCACACTAAAACCTGATTGGAAATTGATGAGCCCAAAATTAACTGGGCCAGACCCAACAAATCAAGAGAGACCCACGTCATTTCGGAGCCCAAGTAATCCATATCCAGAATGGAACCCAACTCACCAAACCGTCAACACCAAGAAGGAGACTAAGAGGGAGACCACCCCAAGGGGCGCCGCCCAAGGGGACCCTTGCCTTCCTTTGCTCCATGCTCTCTTCCTCAGCACCTCTTGTGGTATCTTTCCTCTCTCCAACCCAAGTCCAACTAACTCATGATTCTCCTCCGAAGGAATAGGAGCACAAGAGAGATAACATCGGGATACGCACAGAGATCTAATCCTACCATAATTGTACTTACCAAAGTGGTAGTTGGTAAAAATCCTCTACCTCACATCACCGCCTTACTTAGTCTATATAATGTAAGCCCTCTTCACATAGAGGGCATGCTTTTACAACCTTGACATCTTTACGCCTTGAGAGTCCTACACATACTACACCTCCCTACACACATTGCTCTCTCTCTCTCTCCAAAGCATTGTAATACTCCCGGAGTTATTCTTCCGGTGACTTCATTAATTAATAAGAAGATCTCAGACTATCGTTGCTGTTCTCGAGAGTGGAGTAGGTCACCCGGACCGAACTACTATAAATCTCTTGTGTTGACTCTATATTTACTATTTTGCCATTGATCTATCATTGATTGCCTATTTATTGTGCATTGATTGCACCCGCTCATATTCTTAACTGTTGATCTTACGCAAAGTCAATTTGTGCATCATCAGAAATAAAAGATCTAGAACAGGTGGCCAATCAAACTTCGCATATTGATTATTGGAAAAACCTGCCAAACTGCCAATTCAATAACTAGACTCATTCTATGGAAAGGCAGCCTGCTTAGCCGTATTCATTTTGAAATGAAGATGAAGATTTTATAAAAGATATGAGTTATGAGAAGAAAATCCAATGGAGGACAAAACGTATGCTTGTTTTAAAATATTTATGTTGTTCCTATACCGGAGAAACCTTTGACAATTTTTATAGACATTAAAGGTCCTCACAAATAGTTGAAGATAAGAAAAAATCTAGGAGCCACAGACTTATTCTATAATTTTGTTTGACGTTTTCAGTAAACATTTTATGTTTACCAAATACAGCGAATCTGTCATGTCCTACATCAAACCTTGTGTAGTGACTCACATTTAACCAATATAACCTCACCTCCAAATGCAATCTCCAATAACTGAGCGCAAAATATAGACTGATGCCAATAATTTTAGCATTAGCCAGATGATGAATAAAGTAAAAAAAAAAAAAAAGGTAATAAATATTTTTTGCCCATGTGCCAAGACTTGAAGAAAATGTGGGAAATGATCAACCACAACTTTGGTTTGAAAAAATGGATAACTGCTTGAGAGTTATAAAGCCAATCAACCATCGATAAAAAAAAACTATCAAAGGAAGTGGCTATAAAAGGAAGAAAAGAACGAAGTTGAAGTACAACTCAAACCCCCCACAAGACCTACGATCAGGGAATTTATGAGTAGTGTTAAAGTTAGTTTTAGGAAGTTATTAGTGTTGTAATCAAAGACTGTTAAATTAGTTTATCTATAACTGAAACTCTTTCGATTGAATTAATAAAGGAATCTATTTTTATTGATTCATTATTCTGTAATGTTCATCACTTAAAGAATTCATCCAAGGAAGTCCTAAAACAAGACAGTTCAACCCATCCACGATCAATCGCATGAAAACTGTCAGTCAATTGAGAAATTTATGTCGTTCACAATAGATTTTGGAGCAACAATCTTTTGGTACGTCAAGTAAGACAACATTACTAACTTGGGTCAAGGAAGATGATGCAAACGAGCAAGTAAGATGAGATTATATTTGGAACTAATGAAACTGTGGAAATGACACTAGTTGAAGGCAATCATAAAGCATGTTCGAGTACTCGTCCTATGGAGTCTACAAATCCAGTTAATGACCAATCCAATGGTCAAGAAAGTGTGCAAATGTTGGAGTTTGTGCAGAACTTGAAACAGGTATTACACAACCCCAATTCTGGCATTAAGCAAGAATTAGTTAATGCATTTTGACCACTTAGACCTAATGAGAACAATTAAAAACCTCTGATTAACACAAAGGAAGGATAAACAGACCAAGCAACCAAACGCATTGAGATAACAACTCAGATGAAACCCTAATAGATAGGAGAAGCTATTTGAAAACATTATCCCTCACTTCTTGGTATCATGTTTTCACTTTTACCTTTTTTTTGAGTTCTTATTTATTGTTATTTGTATTGGTTAATATTGTAATTTACTCATATGTCACAAATAAGAAGGTGTAGAGCAATTTGAGTTTACGCATTATTTTTGTCAATCTCTCTCTTTACTTTCGCTTTCTCTGTTAACCCTAAACCCAATATCATTCTTAGTGTTTAAACTTGGTATCAGGGAAATAATTTGAAATGAAACAACGTCGGGAAGCACTTGAAATGAGCCAAAGGATTTTCTGTCACTAATGCCAGCATGTTGTTAGAAACTACCGGCCACCAGGAAGTTGCTGACTAGTTCGACTCTTCAAGGGGAGTCCTCTGGTATTTTTACCAATTTTTTTGAAGACATCTCGTTAGGATTTTTTTATTTTTGGCCAAAAAAGTTTTTTTTTTCAAACATGGGAATTTTGCATCTTCTCTCTAGTTTGGTTGCTTAGATCTGCAACCCAGGGTTCCAATTTGGCATTGGGAGGAGTTCCATGAGTTTCCCAGTCGTCTAAACCGGTTTAGGACATGTTTTCTTGGTGAAACAAGATGCCAAACTCATTGTTCTTGGTCTAAATAGTCGCGATCTGGTCTAGTTGGTAGTGTTTGTGATGTTTTCGGACCTCGATGTTGTTGAGGTCTGGTGATGAGATTGTTGTATTAGGTGCTAATGGATTTGCTCCAGAAGCCCTGGCTATTCTCTCCTTGGTTGGTTCTCTATTCGGATCTGGTGTTCTTGGCATTCCGGTGGCCTTCTGAGTGTTGTTTGTGTATGGGTTGGTGTTGAGTTGCTGATTTGTATTGGTTTTTGGTATTGGGTTGCCTGTTGGTTCTTTTTGTGTGTGGACCCATTGTTGTTGTGTTGGGTTTGGTCCTTTGTTGCCACCAGTTACTTTGCAGCTACTTGGGTGTTTACTAGTTTGGACCATGGTTCGAATCAAGGTCTGTATTCTAGTCTCGATTCACTTTTTTCTTTGACAAATTTGCATCGGTTCCTTAATTTGGGACGCCTATTTTCTTGATATGTTGATTGTTGGGATAATCCAAGGGATTGTTGATTCTATTTGCAGCAAAGGCATTCGTTTTAGCCTTGTTGTCGTGTCTTCTTTTTGTTATTTTTCACATTATCTATGTGGTTGCTGACCTTTGGTAGGTTACTAGGGTCTTTGTTCTTTTCTTGGTTTGACCATTCATAATTAATTGTGGGCCTCTCCATTATGCCTTTGGATGATGGTAATCGTGGTGGTCGTTTTGGTAGTGGTCATTGTTCTGTGTGGACATGTACTTATTGTAGTGGCATAGGACACATCGAAGATAATTGCTAGGATAGTATGACAGTTCAATAGATACCAATTGGGTTTATAAGAATACCTCAGGTTCTTTGGAACATCAGACTTCCACCAATGGTCTAGTTACATCTATTAATTCTTATGATGATCTTCCTTCTCAGCTCCGCCAGCTCATCTAACGGTTATCTTCACGTTCCCACTATTTGGCTGTTCCTACTGCATACCTTGCTAATGATGGTAATTCTACATGTGTGGTTGCTCCACCTCTTTCATCATCTTGGATCATTAATTGAGGAGCTACTACTCATATGTCTAGTAAATTCTCTCTATTTTCTAATTTTTGTGCATCTAACATATGTATTGTGTTAGTTGATGGCTCTTTCTAACTAGTACAAGGGACTGACGATCTCCGTTCTACTCATTCTATAATATTAACTTCTGGTCTGTTTGTTCCTAATTTTTCCTGACTTGTTATATGTGAGTCAGTTAGCTAAGTCGCTACATTGTTTCATAACTTCTCTCCCTCCTCTTGTGTTTTTCAGGACCTCAAGACAAAGAAGGTGATTAGTGTGGTGCATAAGCGCAATGGCCTATGCTATTTAGATGTTTGTAGTTTTGCTCTTGCCTTGGGTATTACCATGTCTCTTCTTCAGTGTCACTTCTGCCTAAATCATCCCTTAATGCAAAAGTTGAGACAAGTTATGGTTGGTTTGAGTCATTCTTCTGTGTTAGACTATGAGGCATTATCAATTAGAAAAGCATCATTGTAGTTCTTTTCCTCCTATTTCTTCAAGTCGTCAGTCAGTCCTTTTCATGCTGTTCATACAGACATTTGGGGTCCAGCAAGGGTCAAAAGTATTTATGGATTTCAGTATTTTGTGATATTTGTTGATAATTCCTATTGTATGGATTGGTTATTTCTTATGAAAGACCGATCTGAATTACCCAAGTTCTTTACCACCTTTTATAATGAAATTTTGGTTCAATTTGACCTTTGTATTAAAGTTATTCAGTTTGACAATACCTGTGAGTATACCCAATCAATTATAAAAATCTTTTATGCTGCCCTTGGGATTATCCATCAAACCACTTGTCCTCAGACCTCCCAACAAAATGGCTTGTGGAACATAAGCATCGTCATATTAATACACTTGATGAATTTTTATAAACAATGGAATACTGAGGACTATAGAACTCTTAATTCAATTCACACTCCAACGGTTGCCCTCAAATTAATTATAGTGAGGATAGTGG